TTTGTTTCCGAGCCAAGATATGGTGATGTATATAAAGAATGATTCAGTCTCTGAACTTGATTTCAGGATAGTGAGGCAATGGGATGTTGTTTATTAAAGAAAAGCTGATATAATGGCTAAAACCCTCTGAGTATAGTCGTGCCCTATGATTCTCCGCTTTTTGCAAATTCAAGCTTCTAAGGCATAATTTTTTGGCTTTTTTACAGAAATGCTAACTAGATATATTCTTAGAATAGTCTCACAAGCACATTATTTTAACGTTTTAAACACTTTTAATTTATAAGTTTAAGATCTCAATATTTAAAAAACAGGTCCTTAGAATATTGAATGTTCTCATTTTTTTAGATGGGAAAGTCAAAAATGATTAGTGTGATTTCAGATATCTTGTACAACTCAGTTTTAGCTAATACTATTTAAGGGATTTGTCTAAAAGAGGTAATGTATTATCACTAGATTTTGTCATAGTTCAAAGCTCTCTGCATTAGTATAATCGATGTATTTTAGAAGCGAACAAAGTTGCATGATAATAACTTCTTCAACCCTGTTAATAATATTAAAGGTAATATTAAAGATACGGTTACAGAGTAGGTTCAGTTTTGCTGGTGAGACAATCATACATGTAATATCACTTTTTTAGAAAGCAAATTTTTACTTACACACTATCTTATCATGCACACACCAACACATATACTCCTGCTAGTTTTCTTATCTTTTAAAGTATCCATTGATTTATATTTTAATTTGATAAATGTTAATTGAAAATTATATTGTAAGCGTTGCACACACATATAGACTAAAACTATACTACATAGTTCTTACATTAGTTGTCTAATGGGCTGTTCGAATCATTTATGTCTTAAAGTTTCCTTTCTCAAAGTCTTAAGCAGGTAAATATATATTGCATATTTCCACAGCTTCCAAATAGTTTTTTTTGTCTGTACATATTATATGTAGGTAGAGTTGAAAAAGAATAGAATTTGATGAAAAGGCGGAAAGAAATATTGCCTCAGGACACTGTGAAAATTAAGTTAGTAAGAGCTCAAGTTAATGTGGCAATAAACTGTTCTTAGGCAAAAGATAACCTGATATACTAAGAGAAAGTCTTAGTTTTTTGATAGCTTCTTAATTAGCATTAACATATAATCACACATATGTGCAATTTTAAATCAATTTGTAATTACTTGTTAGGTGAAAAAAATGACATACAACCTGGAAAATTTGAAAATATATTTTAAAGATTAACGCGGAAGTGTTCTATTGGGAAAGTAAAAGATCAAGTAGCTATTCTCTTTTAATAGTCTAACAATGCTATGCTCATTTCCAGTTATAGGGTTAAAAAAAATCTTTAGAAACATTTTAAAGGGAATCCTCAAAAGTGTTTCAAGAATAAGACACAGGAAAGTTGAAAGAACTGATTATTCAACTGGGCAAGTCTCTAATGGAGGCTTACTTTTAAACTATCTTTAAGTTTATGACAAGCTTTTACATAAAGAACAGAGGGCAGGTGATTCTGACTTCCACAAGGGGTAATGGGCTCAAATTTTTATGTGCTATATTCACTTTATGTATAAAAAAATGCCCTGACTGTGAGGCTCATTAAACATTTGAATGAGCTCCGGAGTAGGTTACTGATCTTAGCCTCTGGAAATTTTTCACTGTAGTGGAATCTCAATCATTAGACATTTGAAGGCTGTTCTTCCTTTCAGTTGCAGAAATAGATTAGATTACTTCACAAGCATTATTTATTGCTTTAGCTTTTGTGCTTTATATTGTCATAAAGAGTAGAAAGACGTTTGTGTTTCTGTCTTTGCAAGTATTAGACTGTATTTAAATTATAAATTGTGATTTTAATGTATCATATAAAATTGTTCCTGCTAGGCAATTTTATAGTATAAATGATATATCAGTACTAGTATTTTGCAGTTATTTTGTAATACATATTTTACAGTGCAGTCAAGTCATTAGTTAGTTTAATATGCAGTCATTATTAGTTTAAGTGTTTTAATTTTTCCACAATTTAATATTATACTTTGCAAATTATAAAAGGCAGCATGATCCCAAAATAGTAAGAAAAATATACACTACTGAAAGTCATTAAAATTATATGCTAAATTATAAAAAGATAGACATTTGAGTACCATTTTCCATTGAGCACTTTTTAAACTACATCTCAGACATTAACATAAAACTTTTTAATTGACATTTCTGTGATACACTATGAAAAAATTATAGTGAATGAATAGAATTCAAAGGAAGTATAATTCATTTTCCATTACTTTTAAATTGACTGGAAAATAATCTTTAACCAATATCAAATGACCAATTCGCTCAATTTACTACATATAGTGGTGCATAGCTAAAAAAACCTGTATTTATGAACTGAAAAGAAAGAAGCAAAAGTTTTCCAAGTCTGCTTTGATAATTTTACATAGATTACTACAGGAAGCTTAGTCATTCAATGCGTTTGATTCATTCTACCCAACCTGAGATTTATGGGCACATGTATGACCAGAACACTTAATACTGTGGAATAATTATTCTTGAGACTGACTCTGTGGGTTTATATTAGTTTTGTATATAATAATCTGCTTCCTACTTGTACACCATTAACACATATAGCCCTGAAGGCATGAAGATTATTCGGTGCTCACACTATCCTCTTAAAATTTTGAAATATTTTGAAGTGTAAAGGGTCTCTCTTAAAAATTTGAAATACAGTGTGTGAGACCATAGCTTTAGTAATATTATAAAGGGCTCTGGCAGTACTTCTCAGGTCATATTAGCTTCTGAAACAAAGGATAACTTCTCTCCATTTAGTTTTTCAGACCTTCAAGTTCAGCTCTCCTATTTCTATTATTCAGATATATATGCCCTAAATAGCAGACAGCTGAGAGGAGGAAAATCTATGTTTATATTACAGACAACTTCAAAAACAGGTGGATTTTAAATAAAAGCAATGAAGTGTAACTCAAAAAGGAATCAAAACATAGCTAATAAATTAAATTATATTTAAGATATTTAGTATAGCATGCACTAAACTATATGAAACTGTGAACCATTTTAATAATATAATTTTCTATTTGACTAAATTAAATGAACTTATAATATCTATGCCAGTAGCATTTCCCATAAGTAACCTCTTAATTAGTAACTATGTTTTATTAATTTAAATGTGTGCTAGTTTGATTAATTTCTACATTTATGCAAAAGGTAAGGTTCAGCATTTTTTTCACATGAGTTAGTATATAGGTTGCATACAGGCTAAACTTGATTTTTTTTTGTTCTTGAACTAGTAAAGTGATGTCCTATAAATCAGAAAAAGTTTCCACTAGGATGTAATATCTCTAACATATTTTGAAGGAAGTAATAATATTTGTAGATTTACTGTATTTCCTAGGTTAGTCAAGAGAGCACAGGATCTTCTATAATTATTAATATTGTTCCCTTTCAGACACCAAAGTCTTGAATCAGGATCATAAATTATTTTGGTCATTGCAATTATGTTTAAATTCATTTTATAAACTTTAACTTTTATGATTTTCCTAGTCTAATTCAGTGAATAATTTTTAGTTCTGATTGATTTAAATATGTATTTGAATTACTTGTATTCAACTTTATCGTGAAACAGGGAATTTGAATTCCAGGACACTGTCAAATAAGCTTTAGTTCTATGAAAATAATAAAGTTTCCACTTACTTGTAGAATATTTTTTCAGCACTATGATGGGTAAGTTCCAAGAGCTCCCTGTAGTCCGTTACTATAGCTAACTCATCTAAAATTCATCATAACATCTGATATTATGAAACATAACATTTCAATTACTTCCAATACTGGTTAGTTTACAGTAAATGTAAATAATCATTTTCAATTTAATATCTGTAATAAAAGTACCTGATATTTAAAATTTGAGTTACATTTCTGCTAAATACAGAACTAATGAAGAAATGTGACAGTGTCCAGAAACTGAAGTTTTGAGGAATAATAAGTGAGGAAATATGTCAAAATAACTAATGAAAAGCACATAATTAAATTAACCTACATTTAATGCAAGGGAGTTTCAAAGAAGGAGGATTAAACTGATGAACATATTCTTAATTTTGATGATAAAAACCTGTTAGCACATTAAATTAGTTCAGGTATGCTATTGAAGGGAGTTATTAATTTTTAATTAGCTATTCATATGTGATTTTCATGTCAATTGAACTAATTTAATTTCCAAAACTTTTTAAAATTATACATCTTCTTTGTACCTAGATACTGACCCCGGGGATACAATTCTTATTCTCACTTTACTCATGGTCAACTCTGATACAGTTTACATGTGGAAGAAATATCCTTGATTGTTATACATACATTAAACATTTTAAAATAATAAACCTTTACTACTGAATCTGGGCAGGCTCCTTCACAAACTAGTATAAGTCTGGACCAAAAAGTAATGCATTTTTCCCTTTCTCTTTCTCCTTACAAGATACCTGTTTCCTTTCAGGAGATAAATTTACTTTGAGAAACACTGTAGGCCACCAAAAGTTGCAGTGACGTACTTTTAAAAAGAAATAAAACTATAAAACATGAGTTGTCTTTGAATTTTGAACTACAAAAATATTGTGATAAGATTTTCTTTAATATTGATTGGTGTAATGTATTATTTAAAATTTATTAAATTAAATCTGCATCATTTTAATAATAGATTTTCTAAACATTTATCCTAGGAATAAAATCACATATTTCCCCTTAATCTGTGTACATAAATAGTGTGGTAGAGATTATTCTGTAGATAACATCATTCTCCATATAATTGGTGATTAGTACATGAAACATAGATTTCCCATGCAAAACTAGAAACCGAGGTAGCACTGAATTAATTTCACGCTACGTGTGTTTGGTATGGGAGTACAGCTAATTTCCAAGTGTATTGATTTCTTGTACAATGATGTGCAATTCTAAACTCCAAAAGTCAACCATTTTTTTCTTAGAGTATTTTTTTTTCTTTTTCACAGCACGGAAAAGGATATGCTAGTCAATTCTACAGAACTTACCTGAAGCAGCATGATTTGCACAATGTCGACCAACAAAAGCATCAACTTTTCAACTTCATTATCTTGGCCATCCCGTTAGTTGTGTGTAACTGAGTATTAGATTTCCGGCGGAGTCATCGTGGCCAATTATAGGACCTAATTGCTCTCAGCAGGCCTGAGAAATGAGTTGAAATGTGCAGAACTGTAGAAACTTTAGAGGCAACTGATTTTGCCTCTCTGATCAGTGTGTGCCTGTTTACAGCACTATATATCTTTCTCTCTCCAAATGTCACTGAGCCCTTTAGATGTTTATATTCACCACAAGAAGCCAGTCATAAAGAAAGGAAATTTGTGCATTATAAATGCAATATCACTGTTTTAAACTTGACTGTTTTATATTATTTTTGTGTGATCAAGTGTTCCCCAGACTATTCCAACTTTACAAGAGAGATTGTGATTATGTTCTTTTCACCTGTGGGTTATAAAATATGTTGTATTATGGAGACCCACAAAATATCAAAGACATTCTGTAGTTTATACACCGTGTTGCAAAGTGTTTACTGTACTATTTCAAAGCTTCTAAATAAATATAAAATATATATATTATATTATATAATTTTCCTAAAATGTGGTACAAATCAGTTGGTTTTTAAACGGATTCATAGTCCACATCATACAATAACATAAAAGGTAATTCAGGGTCCCAAAGATAAACTTACTAAGAAGAAAGAATTGTCAGTAGTTTCCTGCCAGTTTTCATATCTTGCTCAACCCTGTTTTTCCTTGTTTAAAAGAAAATGAAGCTCTAAGCTACAAAATTTTGTCAAGAACTCATCCTGAATTTTCAATGCCAAAGATGTAGCTGTCCATATTATCTGATGGAGCACTGATATGTACTATCAAAGTATCTAACAATCTACATGATTCTAATTCTCTTTCTATGGCTTTGAATTTAGAATCACTTAAAGCTTTTATAACCTATAAATCACCTGTATTTGTTGTTAGGAAAAAGAACTGGGTGTCTGTACATTTTGTGGTGTAAAGTATGTAACTGAAGATTACTATTTTAAGAAGTCCTCAATCATATAACTCACACAGAATTTTATTTTACATCGTTTTCCATAGTTTTGTGACTCTCATTTACACATGAATATAAAATTATTTATAACTCTATATAAATATGTGAGCTGATAAAAAATATAAAATATAAAGGATCTCTAAATTTAGACTAAATAAATTTAGAGGTAGGAATGTGGTACCTATTCTCTCAGTATTATTTAGGAAAGTTTTGTAGCTTCAGTGTGGTGTTTTATTAAATGAGAAAATTTTTCATGATACAGCCTAGAATATAAGCTTGGCTTTTACTTTTATGTCAACAAGTTTAATTATTAAATTAAGTAAGATATGTTTCCTTTCTTTTACATATTTTTACTGCTGTTTATTGCTTCTTGAACTATAATTAAGAAAAGGAAAAATCAGAGCATGTGAGGTAATCTTGCAAGCAAAAACAGTCTTAACAGGTCTCTTCCCTCTAAAAAAAAGCCCTTCAAAATTATATCAACATGTTTGCCCAGTGCAAATTACAGAACTACTTCAAAGTATTTCCCTTTTTTCCTAACTGATCTTATGTTCAATGAGAGTTTGAGCTGCACATTGCTACTAAACAATAGATAGAAATTCAGCTGGAAGACTTGAGCTTAATCCTCAGCACTAAAAAAACAAGGAAAAAAAGACTAAAAAGGAACAGGTGTTCTCCATCTAATTTTATGTAATTTATATTACAGTTTTCTTCTGCGATTTAACATTAAAATGCATAAATGTATTCATCAGTCCTTGATGTATGTTTTGAGTGATATCTTGGTATCATTCATTTGGCTGTTAACAAGTTAGATAATAACATGTCATAATTGCAGTTTATATATCGAGAAAAGTACGTAATGTTCCAATTTGTTGAGGAACTCTAACGAGGAAACTAATCAATCATGTGTAATACAAAAGCACATATGTTCACTAAGTGCAGTAACATTTTCTCAAACTATTGGCATTTACTACATTAATATTTTGAATGATAGGCTATTTTAGTAAGAAAATGTTTATATATTATTTAACTGCAAAAGTCTGTTTGTTCTATTTGCTTTTTAAGCAAGGAAAGGATTTTCTTGTTGAATTGCTCTGCTGTAAAATCTTTCATACATCATTTTAAAATCACGGGGGGAATTTACATTCACCTTTTTTATTACATAAACTGAAAGTAAGGTTGTGCTTATTTCATATATGACAGATATATTACTTCAGTTGATATAGACATTTTCTTTAGTTATTTAATCCACTATATCATTGTATGATTTGCTTAAGCAGACTTATTATACCATTTATTTATGTATCAGCTATTTTGAAAACTATATGGTAGTAATTCATGGTAAAATTTACATCTTAGCCCTTAAATTACTTATCATTCTATTAAGAAAAAAAAAACAACAACGCTTTTTATCTACTTTTTGGGTAGACTTATTTAAACTTAAAACCCTGACAGATTAGATCCTTAATCAACTGTTGCATTCCGAATGAATCAGAAGTTAGGGTAAACATATGACCTTAGTAGTTTGAATAAAATGTCATCCATCAAGGAATGCAACTATAACACAGAAAGGGTATCTAACTAGTAATAAAGTTTTTCAAATAAGCATTTACTAAGTTAGCATGTCAAGAAATTTTAGCATAGACTTTCTATTTCTGATAATTTTCACATCCAATCTTCCATAAGTTCATACACATCAAAGAAAAATAACATTAAGGTTATTAAAAACATGTCCTTGATACATTATTTTAGAAAAAAGAATCACGACACTTACTTGTTGTTAACATTATTAGTGATAGAAAAGTAAAGGTTAAAAAATTTTCCTGTGGAAATGGTGTCTTAATGTTTCAATGGTATGTCAAATGACAATCTTTAGAAATATTTCATCTACATGTAAAATGCTAACTTTAAACTTGTGAACATAATTTTGTGAAATCATTTTGAATCAAATATTGAAATATTGTGCCAGAATTACTTTAAAGGTATCATGATATCAATAACATGACTATATCATCTTTTCTTGGAAAATATTAAGAAAACATGTACATTTTACTTTCAGAAGATATTAAATGCAATGCCTTTATCAAACATTGCTAATTAAGAACTATAGTAGAAGATTTAACTATTCAACTGGTCTGTTTCATTTCTTAATTGTGATATCACTTACTGTTAGATATTTTGTAATCTAAGAGTCTCTGCTTCTCCAATGACAAGAAAAAGTCTCACAATTCTCAACATACACTTCCATAACTGTACACTAATTTTATTGCTTTATCTCCCCAAATTATTTATTGCAGTTCAGTTGATCTTTAATATAATCAGTCAGCAAGAACATGGCCAATGTTAAGCAAGATAAGGGACATGCTTATGTTATTCTCTCTCAATATTTATGTCATTGACTCACATTTTTTCTATTGCATTTCTGTGTGTGCCAATACCCAAGAAACTAAAAAAACACTCAAAATGTTGGTATACTTGATTTTTCTGAAAATCTTCTATTTTTCATATTACAATTTGTTGGGTTCTTTATCTTTCTCAAGTCTAATTTTGTAGTGCGAAAGGCTTTGCACTTAACATCTTTTTTATGTTCCTTTTTAACAAGGAAAAACAGAAAATAACAAAATTCCATATTTTTTACACCATGAAGTAGTAAAATTATTTTATATATTGCTAGTAGGTCAAGAAGTAGCCCTCTGCTAAGTCAAACAAAATCCTTATACAGTAATTTGTGAACCTGTTCAATAGAATATTTTTTTCTTCAAAATTTGGTATAGGTCTTAGATATTAGCATTCTATAAGAATGCTGGTAGGTGGGTGCCGCCAGAGTATTGCAGGCAATAATATGACTAAAATTCTAATACTTTAGTGTGTATGCATGTATTTCTAATCAGTGTTATTTTTTAAGTATTTGTAAAATTAGAAAAATGACATTTATTTCTTGAAAACTTGTCACATGCTTAGTTTAAAGTTTTACTCTCCAAATATTTTTGAGTTGTGTGAAAATATTGCATCCAAGATGCAAAAACAAAAAAAACAAAAGTTTTCACTTGAGACTCAAAAATTTTGGAATAATAGAACTCAGACTTCCAATACATCCATATATCCTTGAGCTGAAACTAAGCAGGGAATTTCAGCTCTAAAAACATTTTTGAGACAGTTATCTGTGAGTGAAAACAGGGTATTATAACAAAGATGAGTTTCAATCTTAACTATAGTGTTTGTTACTGTGAATGCTATAATAATACATAAGTAAAATGAGTGTAAATGTAATATATTATTTTATACTGCTGTATACATACGAAATAAATAAAACTAGGATACATATCATACTATTTCTTCAATGGATGGATCTTCCACTGACGCCTGTGGGAGCTTTGCAAAAAAGACCAGTAGCAAGATACGGCCCTACGTTTAAAAGCAATTAATGCTGATTTAGTAATTTTAGCCTTAATACTAAGGTGACATCTGTTCAAAATTAATTCTCATTTGAAACTAAATATATACGCTAAATTTTGGAGGATTTCACCCTATTTATAGTTTTGAATGTACATATTTAATTCCATATGAGTCTAGTGATACCCACATGAATCTTTTAGGTGTGTAGTTTTTCAACTGGTGTTTTAATTTTCAAACTTTATTTGATTAATGGCAATAGTAACACACCACAAAGATTAATGTGGTGGTTATGATGGATGCCTTCAAGCAATAAAAATTTCATCTAAAATTTTAGAAACATAGCCTTCCATAATCAATGTTGATAGAAATATAAGAAAAACTAAAGTCCTTATGGTTATCATTTTCAAAACATAAAAATGAAGGTGTAAATCTTTTTTATAAAGTTAATATAAACTAAATTGATCCTACTGCAATTTAGAGTCTGCAATACCTAAAATGTAACAGAAAAAAAATACTGTGCTTCTTCATATGATATGTGGTTTATGAAACCAATTTTCTGGAGTTCAAACTACGCAACTTACATGTACAAATTTCATTCCAGAAGACAAGGAGGAAGACCAGGCATTCCCTTGCCCTAAACATCCACTATTTGCAACCTTAGGATGAAAAAAAACCTGAATAAAATATACAAGAATTAAAGTTATCCGTGAAATGAGATCAGGACTAACTACAGACCACCTTAGTTCCCCTGTGTACGTGTATTTCCTGTCAACCTCTCTCTTTTGAGAATTCATACCATAGGCTAGCTCTTTCATTAAACTATGCTTTAAAACTTTTAGAGCTAAAGTTAAGTTCTATTAATTACAAGTTAAAGTCTGACCATGAGGTGATGTAACAAGGTCTGATATCTGCCTTCAGAAAAAAAATTCTAGCTTGTTTTGGGGATCAAAGAAATTCCACAATAATACTAAATAATTAAATGTTAAAAACTATGGCCCAAACCACTAAATGGCCTATCACATCAATTTAATATATGAAGATGATAACAGAAACCAAATAAATAAATAGGGGGAAAAAGTAGGTAGCACTGTATCAAACACATCATTCATGCGAAAGTAAGCAGTTCTTTGCAAAACGTTTTTCAGATTCAAGTGTGAATAAAGTCACATTTTAAGAACTATTTCATTCTGTGAAGCATTTCCCAAAATGCTTAAAAAACACTGCATCTTACCATCACTCTTTCTGATTTAAATTCTCTTCAATAGTTTGGAAAGTGTGGAAAAATATTTCTGAAAAGTTACTTCACATCTGAATATTGCTCTTTACCCTTTGTAAAATATGGATAAGTACATTAGCTGTGGGATGTAGATAAAAATTAATGAACTGAAGTGTGTGAAATGTACACCATAACATCAACATGCAAGTAGTATATACGTTTATTAATGCTATTTCGCCCTTACTTCACCAGTGTTCTTGGTTATCGAATGTGTATAATGTAGTCTGAGTATAGAAATAATTCCTTTCTCACAATTCCAGAGTGTATGCAAGCAGTACCAGTTTCCGAATCTCGAGATGAAAGTAGCTCCTTTTGGTTTTCCCCCAGCTTCTCTTCACTTCTAACACTCCATTCAGTGTTGGTGTAAAGTGCAGAGAGGCAACTCAAGGGTGCATATTGTAGTCATCACCCTCAGTTTCCTTTCTTCAGTGCCCTGTGTTGAAAACTGCGCATACTCATTTATGATTGCACTAGGAAAGACCAAATTTCCCCCTTGATGCCAATGTCCTCTTTGAATATCTACTTCCATACAAATAAATTTTGGGGGAAACTCTTCCCGTTGGATAGAATCATATGTTTTTGCGTGTGATATTTTTCACATAGTACTATGCTCATGATTATTTTTTATACAGCTAGCATGCATTTTACAAATGAATTTGAGCAATATTTAGTATTTGCTCAAAAAATTGGATTGTTTTATTCTTTTTTTAGACTGCTTGATGTTTGCAGTCTACGGTTTGGCAGTCCTTGCTTGGAGCTATCCTTCGGCTGTTTAAAATATTTCTAAAATTTCCAGTTTTTCTGAATCAATTAAAAGGTCTATTTCCTTCTTATGAAATCTAAATTTTAAATCTTCCAGTTAAAATATGGTAGCTCATGTGAATGTATGACTAAGGGGGCATTTATATTTTAAATAGAATTTGTTAAATCATGTAGGAATGTCTAATGAGAACATTCCATTGTTGAAGTTTTGTTTTGTTTGCCTTTGCTTTACTTTTTATTCATTTTCTTTCGAGAAGTTGATAATCAGTGGGAATTCCTCAACATATCTGTCTGGGAATAAGAAACATGTAAATAATGTCTGAATCAAGTTATCTGTACCACTATCTTCGTCCTCTGCCTCTACTTCTCATTGTGAGTAGTTCTTGATCATGATATAAGGAAGACTACAAGTATTGGCATGGTAATTGAATAATCCTAAAACACTGATTTTTCCAAAAGTGAGAGTTTTTAATCCTTAGTTGTATCTTTGTTTTTTATTTTAAAAACTAGGAGAACGAAAGCATATTAACACACATACATACATTTACAAAATAACACTATAACGATACAGGCAACACTGAAATTCAGACAAAGTGATAGGAAATTAGCAATGGTTGTTGTATTACATATTGATTTGTATTTTCTAATCAATAATCGCATGGATAGCCAATTTTAAGTTACCTTATGATAGAATTCTCTCAAAATAGGGTTGCATGTGAGTGTACATGAGTGATAGGTACTAGTGAGCACAAAGTACATATTTGAAGGAAGACACAATCGTCTTGTAGGTAAGCAGCTTTTACATATGCCCCTCTATAAATTAGTCTTCGAATATCAAAACTCCTGGTTTAAAAGCTACAGTCATTTTTGTTTATCAAGATGATAACTTAAGATTTTAACACTATGAAATCAATAATTAGTGTTTTTGTCATTGGGTGAAAATCATTCTTACTTATGGTAGGATGACAAAGACCGCAGAGTGAGACAACACAATGATCACAGTGAAACATAACAAGTCAAGTTGAATGAGATATGTGTGTGTGTGTGTGTGTGTATGTGTGTGTGTGTGTGTGAGTGTGTGTGTGCGCGAGTTTGAGAGAGACAAAGACAGAGACACAGAAACATTCAGCTTAACACCTAAAATTAAAACATGGAGAAAAGTGATGAAATAGGTGCTTATTGGATAATTCTAGTTTAAAGATGACAAAAAATAAAATAAAGTTAGATACACTATGCCCCAGAAAAAATAAAAAAGAAAAGGGATATATTATATTTCTAAATACAGTACCAGGTTACTTCATAGGGATGGGTTCCAGATGTGTACTTTGTTTCTTTTCCGTTTTGATAAAATCAAAACAAACAAATCAATTCTTCACAGGATCAGAAGGCTAACTCAGTGTAGCTCGGGGGTAAAGAACTTGCCCAGCATGCAGGGAGGACTAGGTTTGTTCCCCATCACTGAAAAAACAAACAAAATTTATCAATATTACTCGTTTAAAAGATGTTACACTAATCCTAAAATACAGCTTGGTAATTTTAGGAAGTGGAATGGGTAATATTTCCAGTACCAGTAGCAAAACCCACAGAGGCTTGTGGTCCTGGCATAACCTTCCATAAAGTGATCAGCAAGGTCGCAGGACTGTGATTCTGGGTGGAGAATGCTGCTGCCAAGATGTGCAGC